GGTATATCTCTAAAGTCAAAACTCCCCTAGGGTAATGGGATCGCAATCTTGTTTTTCTCTGTTCAGAGTATAAACTTTTATAATAGACAACCTGCATGTTTGCAAAGTGTAAGAAAACGGTCAAAAGAAAGTGAAAAAGTCCTACAAGGTGGTTTGGAGGCTACAGACTGGGGAGCACTGTGTCGGCCACATCAGCGCAATGACTGGATGTGTGACTGTACATAAACCTCTGTGTAGATAACACTGTCTCTAACAGAACAGTGAAATGCTTCCCCAATAATAAAACCTTGGATCACCAGTGATCTGGGGTATCTGTTGAGCAGGAAAAGAAAAACAAGTTGGCCTTTATCAGCTTGTTGAAGTAATTTGCGCTAATGCTTTTACCCCAGCAGATGATGGCAGAAGACATCACACTACCCACAACAGACTTATAAAAGATATTAACCATTTTGCTGCAAACTCTCTTAAGTGGTGCTACTGTGCTGCTGAATTCTTGATTAGACAGCTGACCCTTCCGTCTCACAAATATGCTCCGTTTGCCAGGTAGTGTTTAATCTAGGAAATTGTTGATGCCTCCTCTTCTGGAGTTTCTCTCAAAGTAAGTCAGGCTGAATTATGTTAAATTTATTGAAGTAAACAAACAGCATAATCCTCATAGTGCTGTCTACCCTATCTAAATGTTGTTGAAGCAGGTGAATGACAGCATCTTCAATTCTAACTACATGACCAAAGGGAAACTTCAGGAAGTCCTGACAGCTGCTTGTTTGCTTGCTCAGGTTAAAAAACAAAAATTTCTCTAGGACCTTCATGATGTGACATGTTAGGGAAACAGGTTTATCATTAAGGACTGTTGGCTGAGTTTTCTGTAGTACTTGAACATAGTACGACTTTTTCTACAACACACAGACTGTCCCCTGGATAAGGCTAAGGCTAAATGGTAGGATACCACAGAGCTGCTCTGCACAGGTCTTCGGGACTCCAGAGCTGACACCATCTGGACCTTATGACTTACTGCGGTTCAGTCACTCCACTTACCTCTTCACTTGACTTCTAGAGACAGATAGGTGAAAGGTGGTGGGAGCAGCACTTTCTGTAGATTTGGCTGACAAAAAACTCATTGAAGCATGAGGGTCCGTGGCAGAGTTGGAAGATAAATCATTAGAGGTGTGTGTTATCAGTCGAAGTGTTTTATTTTTAGAAGTATTTAATCTGAAGTACCCATTTGTCTCGCCAGATACTGTGGGTGGGATCAAATTTGAAAGGATGAAATGAGTGATTGAGGTTACTTGCAAACCATGCTGTTTCCAAAACTGAATCCATATTTCCAAGGAGTTGACAAACAAAGGATTCTGTGAGATGTTGTGAGTCTTAAGAGAAAGTGGTTCACAGAAAAGAGACTTCCGACCAAGCTTAGATGATGGGAGATAATCTTTAAGCAGAGGCAATAATGTCCACTCCTCTTACATTAGTGCTGAATGCTCATGATCCAGCTGGTGCTCAACTGCCTTTTCCTTCCTTGTGTAGTTTGTGGATTCTTGGCCAAATTCAATTGAAAAAACATCACAAAAGATTTGCAAAAAAGGAGATAGACTGATAAATCTTTGAGGCTTTTTAGTCGATATTAGCTTTTTTTTTTAAATGGGTGATGTGTGCATGTGTTTTCCGATTGATTAGTCCATTCAGCAGCCGTGCCCTCAGATCATGTGCAGCTCATGTATTGCCATTTCTACCATCCACTATCTATTGTTAATGCTGTGTTTTATTTGTTAAAAAAACATTGCTGTTTTGTTAAAATTGAGCCCATTGAAATATTTCTTATCATCAGGTAATTTTCATCATGGAAATGGAGGAAGAAATAATTGATATGGGCATCTGGCTTCAAAACCTAGCCAATCTCTGCTTAGAAACAGCTGTGAAGCAAAGATGATATGGTCCATACTGGGTTCATATAAATCCTTACTTTTGCAAATTTTTTCCTCTTCTTCCAGCTATTTGTCCCATAAGAGCTAAAAACTCTGTTGCTATTTATGGTGTCAATCTGCTTCCTGGTATCATTTCACAAAGATCTCTCAAGTCAGAGGACACGCTATGGAATCGCTGACAAGTGTTCATACTTTGTGTAAATCCGATATATGTTCACAGTAGTAGCAGAGTGAGGGTTTGTATGAGCTTAGGCTGGTCGGAGAGAGGCTGTTCAAAACCTTGATATCAAATCTTATTTTCAATCAGCAAACACATCAGACTAAGCTTTAGCAGATTATCCATACATCATCACTCTTCAGTGAGGATGCAGTTACTGACGAAAGAAAACTGAAAGTTTGCACCATCTAGTCAGTAAGGTGGTTAACATTTTTTAAAAAGCGTAGAGATGTTAAAAGCTCTCTAAAAGGAAGTGGATTCAGTCTGCGATTCAGTTGGCCTACAGCAAGGGTCTGAAACATGTGGCTCCAGAGCTGAAAGTGACTCTATAGACACTCTGCAATGGCTCTTCATCACTTTAGCTAAAAAATTATGAAAAGCCGGCTACACTAATCTTCTGAAATATAGATACATTAACAAATGCTGGTTAGCATTTTCTCCATTCACTAACATTGAAATCAATTTACCCTAAATATAACAGAAACATATTTTTTTTAAATTTTAAGTGATAAAATGTTACATAGATTTCTACAACCCATTGAAAATTGCATGTATACTCTTTTCTCAAGATTTTCCCATCATTTTAAAACCTAAAACTTGAAATGGCACGGTGGTTTCTTATAAAGGGCAAATCTCCTCTGGCAGATATTTATTAAATACAAGTTATCCTTTTCTTATTTTAAAGAAGGGAATGTAATGTTTGCAGCTCTAAAAAAATTTAGCTGGACTGAAGTAAAAAAAAAAATGTCTGTTTGAATTGTAAAGATTGCAAACTTCTGGCCTAGTAAGAGAGCAAGACTTTCGGCAGATAACAGGAAGGATGAATCAGAATCAGAATCAAAAATATTTTAATAATCCCAGAGGGAAATTACTTTTGTTACACGCTCCAGTTACAGCCAGCCTCTGGTTCAGCCTCTTGGAAATTGCACCTTTATAAAAAATGTATCAGAGGTAGGATCAGCATTCTGTTGAATAGCAAAAAGGAGAATGTTGTTTTATCAGAGCTAATGTAATTGCTTACATTAGACATTCAAGTCAGCTAAGATGTCAGCTCAACTATAATTTTGTCTTTAAAAGATATGAGTTTAAGCTTGTTATACTAGTGTCTGTTCTAACAGACACTAGTATGGCGCCGCATAGCAGCTCCTATGTATGTAATGAATGAACACCCATAGCAGGAAGGCCAAAATTAAATAATTTTCAGTTTGGGTTGCACAGTATACAGAAAAATATTGCCATATCAATATTAGTGTATATTAATGCTATAAAGAAGAGCTTTGGATGCCAGTTAGTGTTGGCTAACATATTGAAAGTGTCAATTGTTAGAAGTCTTTATCAGCAGCTTCCCAAACCAAGCCAGGAATGCAGTGTTCAAAAACACTAAAGGCTACAAAGTGCAGGAAGCACAAAACAGATAGGGAAAAAATTGGATTTATCACAACGAGGGGTGTAAATAATAATCGGTTTGTATCGATGCATCAATCCAACAGCCGAGGACCAGATGCATTGATACGTCCGCAAGCGTATCGAATCATGTTGTTTTTTTTTTTTCCCTCCGGTCTATTTTTATCCATTTGCTCCTGGGCGTAATCCTCCTCCCGTGCTGCGGTGGTGCTAGAAGCATTTTGCCCTCCTACTGCGCATCCTGGTTATACTCTTACAGCAGTTTATTGCAATACACTTGACACAGACATTTTTGATTTATGCCCAATATTGAAGTGTGGTCTGCGCTACACTCTGTGGGTCTAGATACGGCCGAGGCGGTGAGGAAGTGGGGGCGAGTTTAGTTCGACAATGGAGGGACATGAGGGCCAAAAAGGGCAGGGATCCAGGTGGAAAAAAGGGTCCCAGCATTCTTGCGCACCTCGCTCTTCTAGAGGGTCAAACTTCACGAGTTGTTTTCCGCAATTTCGGTCATAAAAACAAAACAAGCCGGCCTCCTGTCTGTGGCACGGCGGTCAGCTACAATTTGGGAGAGGTGCAGCAGAGTGTCTGTGGAGGGGCGGGGACGTCGACACTCTGGAGCCGAGGTATTGCATTGCACTGATTTTGTGCAGTATTTTTTGATGCAAAGCCTTGCAGAATCTATAACACAGGGGCATTGTTATTTTTCAGTGAATGAGGTTTTAATAGGAATAGGTGGAGTACAACTTTTCCACTTTTTATTTGCTGTTGTTTCTGAAATAAAATGCATAACAATACTACAGCTTTCATTGATTTATTTCAAATTTGAAACATTCTCTAGTCAGTAAGGTGTAAAAAATAAATAAATAAATAAATAAAAATGAACCAATTAATCGAATATAAACGTATCGTGGTGTATTTACGAGTATCGAAAATAATCTAATCGTTGGGTCAGGGAAATCGATACTGAATCGAATCACCATGATGGGTGTGATTTACACCCCTGATCACAACTGAAAATATTGTGTCAACATTCACCAGTAATATCACCACTACTTGATTTCTTCATATTGTTTTCCTTTGTGTTTTCATAATGTGGTTCTTATAGAGAATTCAGATTTGAATAAACTCAGTAATAGAAGGTAAAACTTTTCAAAATTGGATACCTCTGATCAGATGAGTAAAACTATATAATGGAACAGTTAGGTGGACGGATTTTAAACCCTTTAAAACATAAATGTAAGTTAAGAAGAATAAAGAAAAGAGAGATATATATGATGTTTTCAAAGTATAAAAGTGAAATGATTAGGATCTGGAACCTCATCTATTGAAATTACAATCTACTGTATTGATTCCTATATTTGTATATCAGCTAAAGGCCAAACTACTTTGTCATCATCACATGCAGAAAAAGTTTAAAACAAGATGGATGTAAGATGTCCTGCCTAACTACCTACCTGAGGCTGGGTTCAGAAGGCATGCCCCTTCACAAAGGGAGAGATGGTGGACGGGACGGTGTGATGTGCCTCCTGAGGATCGTTGTCTCCTCTCTGGGTACAGACATCAGCCTGATAGGACAGAACAGCATGTCAGCTTTATTCAGTTCATCCACTTGACCGAGCCGAACTGTCACAACCTCCTGTGCGACGTGAGAACAGACGTTAGCGAGCGTCATGCCTGATGCTGACTTCTCTCTTCTCCAGACCGTGTTATTGTTGACTATGACAATTTTGTAGCTGCTCTTTAGAATCCATTTAAAAGCAGATGACACCATGACAGCTACCAACACGAGTTCAGAGAGAAAAAAAAGACAGAAAACAAAACCAGCTCAGCAGTTCTCAGGACAATCAGGGAGTCCAAATCACATCTTGTCCTTTTCATGTAGGTACAACCTTGACATAATGTGCTACATGCCTGAGTCCGATACATGAGGAGTAATAAACGGCCGCCCAGGAGGTCAGCATGGTTGCACTCTGAAACCCAAGCTACCCTGGATACTCTGATTGAAACATACCTGCTTCCTGTAAAACAATAGCTCTCAGCAGGTCGTCTCTTAAGTGCTGCCTTGCATTTATAATCCTTCAACATTTTTCATATTTTATGTCTTATTATCAGAAACCTTAATTGCACAACTTAGATTTTATATCTAACATATCTTTTATACTAATAAAAATATAAGGAAACTCTGCACATAACCCTGATTCCACTAATTCTCATGGCAAAGCATGGTGGAGCTTATATTATATAGTATATATAATGTAGGAATGTTTTTTTAAGACAAAACACCAGATTTAAATCCAACAGAAAATGTAAGATTTAAAGAAGCAGAGTTGCATTATTTGACTTTTTCTAATATATACACCAGTAACTTGCTTTGGTTGCATTCAACATTTTTTGAAAGGCATGATACTTGTTTTTAATATGTATTTAAGCTTTTTTTTTTTTAGCTCAGTTGGTTAATAAATAAAGTTCTTCATGTATATTTACAATAACAAGGGAGGTACGTCACAGCACATGTGTGACGTACCTCCCGCATGTGTAAACGAGGAAGTAGGCTGCTGCCGCTAAGCAAGTTAGCAGCTCATGTAGTAGGAAAGTTCAGCCAGGGGAAGACCAAAGAAGTTAGGTTGCAAGGGTGTCCATTAGACTGGCAGAAGTGCTTGGCGGCACATTCAAAATACAGGCTGATCTGCTATTATGTCACAAAATACACAACCATTATGAAAAAGCTTTCTCCATATTATAGTTGTGTTGTTGGGCATGTGACATTAGCTTTTTCTTTTTAATCTAGAGCCTTTTTCCTTTATATTTAGTCGACTCATATATTGTTTTTAGATTTTAACGTATTGTTTACATGATCAAAGACGAGTATAGCAACCTATTAGGGGTGGAACGGTTCACAAAATCCACGGTTCGGTTCGGTTCACGGTTTCCTGGTCACGGTTTTCGGTTCGGTTCGGTATATGTTTATTGTTACACCGAAAAATAAAAAAATTAATAAAAATTAATGAAAAAATAAAAATTAATGAAAAAAATCCCAAAAAATTTATGAAATGTAATTACTTTTAATGATCCACAGAAAACCCTGGATCATTTCTGCATGTTTTGCTGCTTTGAATTTAATCATCTCCCGCATGCCCTCTACGATCTCCAAGGAACTCAGAGCGGAGCGGACGGGAGCCACAGTGGAGGCTGTAGGCTTTGCTTTGTGCAGGCGGTCTGGAGTGGAGTGGAGCGGGGCGGAGCGAAGCGCTGATGGAGTATGTGGGATTTTGGGGTTAGCATGACATGTTGGTCATGTTGCTGTTAGCATAAACAAAACGTGTTGCACAATGCTTGCATACTGTAGTACTTTTATCCACAACTTTCTTTCCACCATCATCATAGGTCAGTCTAAATGCAAAGTGGTCCCATACAGCCTATGAGAAAAAGGAGCAGCGCATGAACCGAACGCAACACACGCAAATCGAACCGAGACAGTCGAACCGAATGGTTCGGACGGTTTTCATAAACCGTTCCATCCCTACAACATATGTATCAAAGCCATGCTTCGCTAATGTCTATGGCAAACCTTGCGTGAGCGGCTAAGTTGTTTCGAGCTATTTAAGCTCCGTGCGTCGCCGTTGCTCTTTGGAATGTTGCCAACTGTCGTCAATGGAGCGCTCATAACTTTCTTACCTAAATGGCTCTGGCACATCACATCGAAGTGTGGGAACATGAAGAAAAGTTATATGGGATTTCAAGATGGATAAGACTGGAACAGCACTCTGGGAATAAAGTACGAATGTTGGTGTTTACTGAAGTGGAAGCTAAAGCTCCTAAAGCATTAAGATGTGGCTGATAGATGGCTAAATCGATAGATGCCTCAAGAAAACATCCTTATCAACACTGATACTAGTGATGTTAGTCTCTACAGTCTGAGTGCAAACAATATTATGAAAAAATGGACTGATTGATTTCTTTGATCTTCAGATAGAAGGCTCCAGGGAGGAGCTTAGAGCTGCTGTAGATTGGTTTATTTAATAAATATATTTTTTTGTCTTAGGCCATCCCAAGCTGTTGCTTTACCACAAGGCTTTTCAGGACACTCTATTCACTATTCACAATCAGTCTTTTTTTAATAGTTCCTTGTGTTACCAGCAGATGGCACCATATCTGTTTATACAGGGTCAACCTGTGTTGGAATTCTATTTAGGCTGAAAAAGGGACTACAAGTATCTAAACACTACCAGGACGGGCACTATTAGCTTATAATGATTAAATGTCTTTTGGTATTTTTGCATAAGCATATAACATGACTATGCAGCTTTAAATATTTATATTATCCAGACGGTGGAGATAATTTTCTTAACAGGGAAAGGACTGCAGATAAACACAAAGCAATCCTTAAAGAGAACCTACAAGAGCTTGAATAAGAAACTGAGAACTGCAGAGTTTCACCTTCAGCAGAACCCAAAGCAAGGTTAAAGTCGTAGGGAAACGGCTGTTCAAACCGTTGCATTTACGATTTCTCCTGAGTGATCCACGACTTTACACAAGTTTTTACTGATTGGTAGATTATCAAGAGGGCAGGGTTGTTGGGGCGGAAGGTTCACAAGCAAATTTGATTATGGCCGGTTTCTCGGAAGCATCTTGCTAACCAGTTAGCTATTTAGTGCTAGTAGGTTCCCAATGGGAAATTGCATTGGGACCAAGTAGCACTAAATTGGTGACTTAGAAACGACACTGTCAAGGAACGCTATGGACAGAGGAAACATGCAAGAGGAGGAGAGTTTAGTGTCGGAGGTCGTGGATGAGTCTCCTCTGTCATACATTTTTTATTTAGAGGAGGAAAGCGGGGAATAAGTTGTTGTGGAAGAGGACGCCAGGGCGGCAGAAGCTTGGATTGGTGTAGAAGGCTTACAGCCGTACTTGTTTGAGCCCTTGCCTCACAACGCTGCCAGTTCTGTTAGCTCTACGCCTGCTGAAGACACAGACGTCCATCCCCGTGAACACTGGGACGGAACTCAATGGGAAAGGAAATGATTCTTATTTCTTATTTGCGTATATATCCCCGTTGCGTATATCAGCTGCGACATATGAATCAAGATGCTATGACCCAAAAAAAAATGTATTGACAGATGACCGTTGATATATGATTTAAATGTACAAGCTGATGTATAACTAACTGGCCTGCATAAGATAATAAAAAATTTTTAAAATAGAAGTTTTCTAAATTTTGGGACAATATCATCTGATAAAGAGTGCATTTATATACATGTTTAAGCCAGAATGATTTCCCTATTACTTTAAGTGAAAAGTTCTCTTTACTGTTGCCATTGTTCAATAAAGGTAAGTTTTAAGATCATTTGAGGCAAGAGCATTATACTTTTAAGCATCACTATATGACCAATTTACCGATTTAATGCGTAATTTAAAATAACACAGATTTTAAAACAAGTTATTTTAAATAGAAATGTACAAAATTTTGGGACAATATTGTCTGATAAAGAGTGCATTTATATACATGTTTAAGCCAGAATGATTTGACTTTTAAATATGATTTCCCTATGACTTTACGCCTCAGAGACACAGACGTCCATCCCAGTGGTAAAGTAAATGATTCTTATTTCAACCGTTGCGTATATTAGCTGCGACATATGAATAAAGATACTATGACTGAAAAAATTTGATTGACAGATGACCGTTGATATATGATTGGCCGAATTTAGGTGAATTTAAAAAAAAAAAAAAAAACACAGATTTTAAGACAGGTTTTTTTAATAGAAATTTTCTAAATTTTGGGACAATATCGTCTGATAAAGAGTGCATTTATATACATTTATTAACATGCTTAGGCCAGAATGATTTGACATTTAAACACGATTTCCCTACGACTTTAACAAAAAAAGGCTTATTTATGAGTACAATGGCTTAGTCAAGATCTAGCCCTATAAATTCAATAAGAAATCTATGGCTAAACTTAAAAAAGAAATGTTGAATTATAATCTGGCTGAGCCTCAGCTGTTTTTGTAGGAATAATGGAGGAAAAAAATTATCATTAGCAGCAAGAAGCTGGGGCAACAATCAAAAAGATTAGTAATTTATAGCTAAATGGAGCTTTACATAAAATCCAATTTTGCCATGTGCTTTTAGTCTCTGAGATTAAGTCAGAGCAAAACACACCTTACTTCATAGTTGTTACAAAACCTGAAAAAATGGAAGAATGGCTTCTAATGTATAGAATAAATAAATTAAACTTCAGTTTGTTTCTGTATGAAGCTGAAGTCTGAGCTGGCTGTTCTTCGGCCTACTGAGATGTATTGATCGACCTGTTTATGAATGACCTTCAGCCACATGGCCACAGGCAGCAGCTACTGATTGAGGAGGGACAGAACAGGGTGCAACACACACATATATATGGGCACATCAGTTTTTGTTTTTATTAACTTCTATAAGGGGCTTAAATTATGTACATTTGGCTTTAAAATGTCATTTAATTTAGCCACACTCATTATAGATTTACATTATTATTATTTCTTAAATCAAAATGTGGAGATAACATGTATTTCAGTGCGGGTGTAGTCACTGTTAATAATCATAACAAGTAGGCCATTGTTTCTGTAAAGCGCTCTAATCTCCTGACTGAAAAAGAAGAAAAAAATAGACAATCCTGCTGTAGTGTTATTTTCAAGCAGAGGACAGAAGGCTTTACAGATGAACAGGTAACAGGACTGGGAAGGAGGAGGAGGAGGAATGTCTGGGTTTCTAAAGAACCATTAGTGCTTTCAAACTGTCACTTCCCAAAAAGCTTCCAACTGTCAGAAGGTCTCCTAGCAACAGGCCAGCGCCTCGGTCCACAAACTATGGAGGACAGCAGCCCCCACAGCCACAATAACCCCTGTTGCATCCCGCTGCACAGCTTACATAGCTTGAGCACCTTACCACTACGGATTTACTATTTTCGGTTTTAAATAAGCAGAGGCTAACGTACCGCATATGAATGTGAAGAGAGTCAGCCCGGTGCTCCGTGGCGGCGCCGCCGTTACAGATGTCATTTGATGTCGGTAGTTTCTGGTGTCTGTTTCCATCCAACAGCGGGGTGAAACGGGAACACTGCCGCTAGCTCAGGCACTCACTAACCACCGACACTTTATTGGCTGTGCTCTACAGTAGCCCGTGAAACATTACATTATAACCCCGCCCATAAACAGTGCTTCAGTCACATGAACCCCGGCCACAAAGTCGAGAAACAGCACCCCCAAGAGGAGAATTCAGATATTACAAATGAAGGTCACCCCCCACACACACACACACACACACACCACACGCAACACACACACACACCACACACTTTTTATTTTTTTTTCTAGATGAATGTTGCAACATTTCTGCATTACTATTACCATCCTTTAACTTAACAAGTAGAAAATAATTTATCAGAATAGAGGAGGATTATGTAGTGCCAGGTTAGAGATTTTTTATTTTTATTTTGAGAATAAAATCGTACCAGTACGAGAAAAAAGTTGTAATATTACGAGAATAAAGCCATCATACCGCAACCCGTTTCAGAAAGAAAGCTTTGAGCTCCAACCAGCATATGACGGCTGACCATCGCCACCAAACAGCAACCTGAGTCCACTTTGACATTCTGCTCAATTTGATGCAGGTGCTAAAAGATTTCCTTATTTGTCAAACCAGAGCCAAAGTATAACTTCACATAAATGCTCGACATTCCTCATTTCAGGAAAGAAAGTGCTTCTTGTAGTAGTTGTCATAAAATACAACATGTTTCTCGTAATTTTAGGACTTTATTCTCGTAATTTTACAACTTTATTATCATAATTTTACTTTATTCTCATAATTTTACAACTTTATTCTCATAGCTTTACTTTCTCAAAATTTTATGACTTTATTCTCGTAATTTTACAACTTCATTCTCGTAATTTTACAACTTTATTCTCATAATTTTACAACTTTATTCTCAAAATTTTACTTTCTTATAATTTTACTTTATTCTCATAATTTTACAACTTTATTCTCGTAATTTTACGACTTTATTCTCATAATTTTACACCCTTATTCTCAAAATTTTACTTTCTCATAATTTTACAACTTTATTCTCATAATTTTACAACTTTATTCTCATAATTTTACTTTCTCATAATTTTACGACTTTATTACCGTAATTTTACAACTTTATTCTCGTAATTTTACAACTTAATTCTCGTAATTTTACATCTTAATTCTCATAATTTTACAACTTTATTCTCATAATTTTACTTTCTCAAAATTTTACTTTATTCTCATAACTTTACAAATTCATCCCCGTTATTTTACGACATAATTCTCATAATTTTTTTCTCATAATTTTACAACTTCATTCTCGTAATTTTATGAATTTATTCTCACAATTTTACGACTTTATTCTCATCATTTTCTACTTTATTCTCATAATGTTATGACTTTATTCTCATAATAATACGACTGTATTCTCGAAATAGAAGAAAAAAAATCTCTAGCCTTTTCCTAATACTCCGTCGTAACTATGCAATTTAGTTTTAACCAGTCTAAAAATGTTTTCTTAACTAACAAAGATTAAGTGCATGGAGGACCAGGAGAGTCATTGAAAGCCTGAAATAGAACTTTCAACTTCAAATAGCATTTAAAATTTTACATTTAATCATACACTCACCGGCCACTTTATTAGGTACACCTGTCCAACTGCTCGTTAACACTTAATTTCTAAGCAGCCAA